AAAATACGTATCATGTGAATGACAGAATATTACTAATACAATTGAAGACACACACAGTAAACATGATAGTCATTCAAGTATACTTTCCAACCTCGAATAGTGAAGACGATGAAATTGAACTAGTGTATGACTCTCTAGACGAACTGCTAGGAATAACTAAAGATAACGATAATGTAGTTATTATGGGCGATTTTAATGCAGTAGTAGGGGAAGGACAAGACGATCAAATAATAGGCAAATATGGTTTAGGAACAAGAAACATCAGAGGAGAAAGATTAGTCAATTTCTGTAAGCAGAACAATTTCTTAGTTACCAATACAATGTTTGAAGTACCGAAAAGAAGACGCTATACGTGGGTAGCRCCAGGGGATACTAACCGTTACCAAATTGATTATTTATTAACAAAGAGTCGTTYCAAAAARCAAATAATGACAAGTCATAGTTATCCTGGTGCTGAAATAGATAGYGACCATAGACTAGTAGCGATGAAATACAAAATAACACCCAAGAAAATTACAAAGCGGCCCAAACGTAACATATGGGACGTAGAAAAACTCAAAAATGAAGAAACCAGACAAGAGTTCCAAAACAAAGTTTATAACAGATTGATAGCTGCTGGTATTGATCCCCCATGRGATGAAGTGGTTAGCAATATTCGTCAATCTGCTGTAGAATCAATTGGATTTAGGARACTGAATCCAWRAAAACCATGGATCACGAATGAGATAATGGACTTAATAAAATACCGCAATAAATTAAAGAAAACTAATGATGCAATGTATAGAATAATAAAGAACCGTATCACCCAAAAGTGCAGAGTTGAAAAGGAGAAATGGATGGATTTAACATGCGAAAATATTAAAATGAATATGTCAGCAAATAGAATGGACAAAGCATATAGAATGATTAAAATATTGTCAAGAYAACCAAAGCCAAGAAGCAAAATTGTTAAGGATAAGAATGGGGAGCTGATTCTAGATGAAGGTGAAATAACAACGAGATGGAAGGAGTACATAGAAGATCTGTACAAAGGAGTGATAGATGAAGATGACATGAATATTGAAAATATAACCGAKTTAAACAAAGAAGACGTAGGGCCAATTATAACAAAAGGAGAATTCGTTAAGGCCCTAAGGGATTTAAGACAAGGAAAATCGGCAGGAGTTGATAACATCCCGGTGGAATTTTTAAAAAACGTTGGAAAGGATACTGAACATAAGATTTTTGAAATGATTAAGAAAATGTATAAAGACGGAAACATTCCGAAGGACTTTGCCAAAAGCAAAATTGTACTAATCCCTAAAAAGGGAAATCCCACAGAATGCAAGAWTTACAGAACAATWAGTTTATTAACACACGCATCAAAGATACTTCTTATCATTATAAAAAATAGGATTCAAAAGAAAATCGAAAATGAGCTCGATGAAGATTAATTTGGGTTTAGACAGGGAATTGGTACAAGAGAGGCTATTCTAGCTTTAAGGGTACTTACAGAAAGAAGGCTAAATGTAAACAGAAATACATTCATAACTTTCATTGACCTAGAAAAAGCTTTTGACACTGTCAACTGGGCGCTGCTGATGAACTCTATGAAGAAAACACGAATAGACTGGAGGGATAGACGAATAATAATGTCACTTTACAAAGAACAGGAGACCTTAATAGAGGTAGGAGAACATAGTACTACAGCAAGTATTAAAAGAGGGGTAAGACAAGGCTGTTCCTTATCTCCCTATTTATTCAACCTATTCGTGGAAAAAATCATGGACAAGTATAAAAGAAACTCTAATGGAATAAGTATAAATGGAGAAAAGATCCACTGCATACGMTTTGCTGACGATATCGCTTTAGTATCTGAATCAGAAAAAGACATGCAAAAATCTTTAACCACCCTRACAAAAATATTACAGGAATATCAAATGAAAATTAACGCAAACAAAACAAAAACAATGGTGGTGACTAAAGCAAAAGAAATTCCTGTAGTAAAGTTGGARGTGAATAATAACTTAATAGAGCAAGTCCAACAATTTAAGTATCTAGGAAGCACGATTACAAATGATGGTAAATGCTCAACAGAAATTAGGCAAAGAATAGTTATGGCAAAGAGAGCATTTACGCAGAAGCGGCAGCTACTTACAAACAAAAAACTCAATATAAATATGAGGAAAAACTTTACCAAATGTTATGTATGGAGTGTATTATTGTATGGCTGCGAAACATGGACTATTAATGGGCAAGACAAAAAGAAATTGGAAGCCATGGAAATGTGGATATGGAGAAGACTGCTAAAAATCAGTTGGACAGAAAGAAAAAGTAACGTAGATGTATTAAACCAAGTAGGAGAAAAAAGAATTGTATTGGACACCATAAAAGAAAGAAGTGGAAAAATGTTCGGTCATTTACTTAGGCATAATTCGTTTATGACTAATATATTTGAGGGACGAATAAATGGTTACAAAGGAAGAGGCAGACCGAGGAAAGCATACTTACAAAAAATGATAAAACAAGCTGGCTGTAGTCGATATATAGAAATGAAAAGATTGGCTTCTAATAGAGAAGAATAGCGTACCAGATTTGCAACGACAAGGCATGGCCTTTAGTAAAGAAGAAGAAGAATATTATATAATATAATATACCAATAGTAATATAATATAATCTAGTGTTAAAGCTGTATACAGAGTGATTGTTTTGATTCCATATGGGTAATTAATACTATTACCAATTTATTTTTTGCAGTAGGTAGACTTGGTAAACAAGAAAGAAAAAATCCATTATTTTCAACAATTTTTAGTTAATATCTTTTTTATTTATATACCCTCGGCAACATGGACTTACAGAGAAAATAATAAATTATATATATTGTGTACTAAATCTATAAGTATTAACTAAATGTTGGTTTGAAGATTGGCGGCTGCAACTAATTGGATGATGTTGCAAATGGATTGACAGTGATTGTCATTAGTATTTCGGCTAGTGATATGCTGGCAGATTGTGCAGGCTTGTTCGACATAGCCAGTGAGAATGTGATTTATGGTGACTTATTGGCGTATTGGACACCACAGGTTATGCGCATTGGAGGTTCTTCCTTGGCCATTAGGAAACTTAGGGAGATTTGTGTGAGAGTATATAGTTGATATAGTGTAATAGTTTTCTGTGGATTTCGATACATGAAATATCCAATAATTGTCTGTATTATGTTTAATGCGATTTAATTTAGTGTAGTAAGATTCTGATTACGCTTCTGATATTAGTTAATATGGTATCAATGTACCTATACCCAAACGTCGTTTCGAAAAGTAATTTACTAATTTACAAAGATTTAACATAAACCTATAGTCATTTAGTTAAATTCCAGATGTTTAATTAAATGCCTATTTCAAGTCGAACAAACAATAAAATTGAAACTTTTTGTACTATTTTTTTTGTTTATTCAACTATATTTCCCTATTAATTATTTATTGCTGTTTAAAAGAGAAAGCGTATTTATAATTTAATAATATCAATATGTAAAATACGTAGCAGGTATAACAAATATTTTAAATGTCGTGTAGGTACTTCGGTACAATTGTTTAAAGCATTTTTTAATATTATTATTATTAATAAAAGCTATATTTACAATCTATACAGAAAATCACAATAAGTAAATTAGATAATATATTATAATAGTAATAGGTAAAGTTTTCAAAACTTTTATTATAATTTTTTTTATTATTATTGTTTAAAACATCAATAAACAATGTAATTATGGCTGGCGTTACATTTTTAAAGAATTTACATTAAATTTCATTAAAATTAAATAACTCAATTGCTACCCACCACATTTATTTATATTTGTACATTGTTATCTCAAGTTATAATAATTTTAAATAACACGACGCAGATCTGCTTCGTTGAAAAAATTGATAAGTTTTTTGGACAGGTGTGTTACCCTGGCACCCCAAGTTCAAAATTTCGACTTGAAAACTRTTTGGTATTATGTTATTTATTATGTAACATTTTGTAACCGAAAAAAAAAATTTTGTAACCCCATCGGTGCCCCGGAAAACGGCGATACATGTTCCGGGTGCCAGGGTAACGTTACCCCAGCACCCCCAACATT